TTATATATATATATATATATAAGCATTTGCAATGTGTTTTGTAAAAGCTGTTTTTATACATGTTTTGACCAGCAGGAGTCACCACCTTGTGTTTTTTACATTTTTAAATAAGGGTATTTATTGTAATTGCATGTATCCACATTTCAGTTGGTTGTATTTATAAAAAAGTCAACCTGAATATAATTATGTACTAATAAATATAATTTTTTTTGAATGTGTTGATAATACTGTTGAAAAATAGCATATATTTGTTTGGCTATTAAATTAACTTTTCACTTTATCGGTAAAGAACTTGTTTTACTCTAATACTCAATAATTTCATATTAACAGTTCACTCATTGGTTTTGAAAGAAATGGATCTTGAGTTCAGTGAGCCAGTACTGTTGAAACCGCTCAGACTAAACAAATTTATGAAATAAAGAGTTTCACTTTTTGTTTAGGTGAATGTCATTGCCCTGTCAGTGTGCACCCGCGAGGCATACCAGTCCATGAAAGAACAAAATATTGATGATGGTCATATCATTAATATTAACAGGTACAGGAATGTTTTATTAGACTTTTTGCCTGTATTCAGATTCCAGCCTGTGCTGGGCCAACAAAACTTTTAATATATTTGTATGTTTTAGCATGAGTGGACACCGGGTCGTCAACAATGCTGGTATACACTTCTACACCGCCAGTAAATATGCAGTGACGGCTCTCACAGAAGGTTTGAGGCAAGAGTTACGAGAGGCCAAAACCCACATACGTGCCACAGTAAGCGCAGGAGGATCAGGATTTGCTTCTGCTGAACACTTTATTTATGTAATATGATTACTGCATGTACAAAGACTTGTTGGCACTAAGTGTTCTCTCTGTTTAACAGTGTATTTCTCCTGGTTTAGTGGAGACAGAGTTTGCCTACCGACTCTTAAGTAAAAACCAAGAAAAAGCTGCTGCTACTTATAAAAGTATAAAGGTATAGACCAATTTTGATTCCTTTCTATACAACATGTTGAAGATCATCATTTACATGTTTAAATATTACAGTGCCTACAAGCAGCTGACATTGCAAACGCAGTGGTGTATGTCCTGAGTGCTCCTCCTCATGTTCAAGTAAGTATCATGCATCACTGGAGGAAACAGTATTGTGCTGTTAGTGTTTGCTGACAATGTTCATGTAAATAGGCAGTTTACAATCAGTTTTAGCAGTGTATGGTAGGTATTTAAAATTTCATGATTAAATTCTTATATAATGTTTTTCCTTTCCCATTTCTAGATTGGTGACATTCAGATGAGGCCTGTGGAGCAGTTGACATAAACTGAACAGAGAAACTGGAGGAAGCATCTCTGACATCCTTATCTTAATAGCCCATGAATGGCATAAAATATGAAATGTAGAGCTGACAAAAGCCACAAGAATGTCCCATACATTTTTTCTGCACTCCAAATCTTTGAAATTACTTGATAATAATAATAAAATTTTATAAAAATAGTTTTGTATATATTAAAAAGACCAAATTAATATTGGAGAAAGTATTTAAGAAGCACAGAGAGCACTTTGCATCAAGTACTGGATGCAGAATCACTATAATTTATTTTGCTTGACATCATAATAATTGACTTCTTGAATGAACATTTACAGATCTGATGATGCTTTACAAATTTCTGTTCAATTCTGTGCCTGCAGTTCTGACCTTTAATATTTTTAAGTGAGATGTTAACTAATTAAAAAAGGTGTTTCTATTTTCTTCTTAAAGTGTATTTGATTAAACTAACAAATCACTACTTTTCAAGCGGTTGTGGTCTGAGGCACCGAGGTGGGGGAGGGGGAGGGCATTGTAAGCTCCTCTCTGTGTGGTGTAAACAAAGTCTAGAATGTTGTTTCCCCGTGTTGGAACACATTCTGCAGTTCAGATAAGGAATAACTGCTTATTTGATTTACATACATCCATTATAGTTTTCCAGCTACTGGTTTTGCCGCTCAACAGTGGCTCTGGGAGAGCCAAACCAGCATTATTAATGCACACGTCAACTCCCTGATGTTGAACTTTGATCCAGGAGATAGATTAAAGGGATAGTTCACCCAAAAATGAAAATGGTCAACATTTACTAACCCTTAAGTTGTTCCTAACCTTCTCCTGTTGAACAGAAAAGAAGATATTTGGAAGAATATGGGTTAAAAACTGTTTGATGGACCCCACTGAAAAAAAATACGTTGGAAGTCAATGGGGACCATCAACATTTTTCAAAACATGTTCAACAGAAGAAAGAAACTTATTTTCAAACTTGAGGTAAATGATGACAGAATTTTTATTTTGGGGTGAACTATCCCTGAAAACAGTGTACATTGCATTCTGACAAATTATTATGACTCTAGAGCAGCAATAATACAAAGTTTATAAACCTCTGCCATTGGTTTTTGAGCTTTGTAACCTTCATGAAATTTCTTCCCTTTCACAGAAACTGGCTGCTGATTGTGTCAGTAGTGGATTCAGCGGCACTCTGATACCATATAAATGTGATCTGTCTGTAGAGGACGACATGTTATCCATGTTCTCCTGGATCAAAGTTCAACATCAGGGAGTTGACGTGTGCATTAATAATGCTGGTTTGGCTCTCCCTGAGCCACTGTTGAGCGGCAAAACCAGTGGCTGGAAAACTATAATGGATGTATGTAAATCAAATAAGCAGTTATTCCTTATCTGAACTGCAGAATGTGTCATGTTAGTCATGGCCAAATGTTCAAATTTTGCAGGTGAATGTCATTGCCCTGTCAGTGTGCGCACGTGAGGCATACCAATCCATGAAAGAAAGAAAAGTTGATGATGGTCCTATCATTAATATTAACAGGTACAGGTTGCACCTTTGTTCTGTGCACTCATTTTCTTGTCTATGTGCAGACACAAAAGCATTCAATGTCTTAAAATACATATTTTAGTATTTGTGGACACCGGGTCGTCAACAACGCTGATGCACACTTCTACACCGCCAGCAAATATGCAGTGACGGCTCTCACAGAAGGTTTGAGGCAAGAGTTACGAGAGGCCAAAACCCACATACGTGCCACAGTAAGCGCAGGAGGATCAGGATTTGCTTCTGCTGAACACTTTATTTATGTAATATGATTACTGCATGTCCAAGGACTTGTTGGCACTAAGTGTTCTCTCTCTTTTAACAGTGTATTTCTCCTGGTTTAGTGGAGACAGAATGTGCCTACCGACTCTTTAGTGAAAACCCAGAAATAGCTGTTGCTACCTACAAAAGTGTAAAGGTATAGATCAATTCTGATTCCTTTCTATACAACATGTTGAAGGTCATCATTTACATGTTTAAATATTACAGTGCCTACAAGCAGCTGACATTGCAAACGCAGTGGTGTATGTCCTGAGTGCTCCTCCTCATGTTCAAGTAAGCATCATGCATCACTGGAGAAACTATTGTGCAATTAATGTTTGCAGTCACTTCATCAATGTTCTGAATATGAATGGGATATTTTGGTGATAAGAATTTGTCATAAATCAGAATAATCACTGTTCTTTGTTGGTTTCTACTGATATAGAGTCAATTTGAGCAGCAGTGGAAAATTTCGGCATTGTATTTTCTAGGTAGAATCTTGATTTAATGGCTGAATTGTTTAATATAATAGTTTTTTTCCTTCCTCTTGTGTAGAGTGGTGACATTGAGATCACGCCAGTGGAGCAGTCGATGTAACATGAGCAAATAAACGGGATCAAGCATCTCTGACACATTGTGACAGTGATGAAGTACAGAACTTGAAGAAAAAAAAAAGTATTATTATTGTTCAATTTACTATATTGCTAATATATGTAGTATACTAGTATAGCATATTTACTACTAATAATAGTACATCGATTATTGTAAATGTTACTAGACAGACAAAAATATGATTTTTAGAAAAAATTCTAAACACTCTTGGTGCTGTTTTAAATATTTTTAAAAAATCAGTTGTGCAAAATGCAGAATCACTGTCATTTATTTTGCTCGACATCATATTGATGAACATTTGTGGACAAAAAAATCAGTGCTGATGAAAAGGGATACTTCTGTACAAACTTTAGCTCTGAATTTGCAGCTCAGCATTGCAGGGTTACATTGCATCAATGCTTTTAATCAATCTTCATGATTAAGTTATTGACTTCAGTAACAAAAAAGTATAAACCCTGGTAAAACTTTTTACTTCCTTCTGAAGATTTGGACTATAGTGTAGTGTTTTATGATCTACATTTATGGTGCTTTTTTGTTATTCTGGAGCTTTGGTAGAAACTACCAAATAGCTCTGTACTCTTTCTGTTTTATTTTTTAGAAATCAAGGGTGACACCTATTGAATATTGAAAAGTAGAGAAACTACTGCCAGTGTTTATTATGCCAAGAGCGTAAAACAATATTAGTGAAAGAGTCTGTCGCCTTGTTTTCCTCTAAAAACGGTATAGTAAAGAAAGGGATTAAAAAGCAACTGTTACTTTCCAATGTATTTATAGTATAAATGACAATCATAAAACTGATTTTTGCTTGCATTTGCTTTTATTTTAAGATTGTAGCTGCCCAATGTTTCGTCCTCATGCATGATTGGCATCTCAAGGGAAATTACCTAGCAACCAGAAATGTTCAGCCCTGAGTATAAGATGTGTGTTAAGGCTGTGAGGGAAGCATGAAGTGCTTGTTGTTTTGCCATTGAAGATTCTGCTTAAAAATTTAAAGTTAATTAAAATCATTTTGCTTTAAACCAAATAGCCAGATTAGTTATATCTAGCCACTTTTTGTACTTTTTACCCGCTTTACATTCCTTCGAGTTCCTCTGCGGTCTTTAGATGGTCTGTCTCAGCATGTGGACAGAGCACGCAGTTACTCAGCAAAAGCCTCTTGTTCTCATGGGAACACAGTCCCGCCCTCTTAACCCCATTTCCATGACCGCAACAGCACGAAACACTATGGAATCAATCATGAATTGTCTTTTATGCTCTGTAAGTGATACTATTGTACTGTTTTTGGAATGTATATTATTTCATAATGTCGACACCCTCTGAATGCTGGATCATTATTCTGTGTCTGGGAACCAGGGAGCTAGCTGGTATGAGACTCCACATTGTTTTCACACACTCGTTCTGAAACTGCTGAGTACAGCGGAGTTGCGGAGGAGCAAGCTGGTGTGATGCAAAATGGTGTGATGTTCTGTCCAGGCCATAATATGCATAAATTTGGGTGGTCCCTCATTTGAATAATGGAAATCACACAGTGGTTTCCCTTGAGTAGTATGTTTTCATGAGAACGTGTTAATGAAACATTTGAAAACCCTGTTGAAACATATGTACTTTCAATGGCCCCAACTTTAATCGTTCAAGACCTAATTAGGAGGTCAGATCCCCCAAACCCCATAATTCACACCTTCATGTCCAGACCTCTACATGAATTAATTTTGAATATTTAAAAGCAGCTACTTCATATGCATTGTAACACTGTGATTTAAATCACATCTTCCATTGCATATTTCAGACTGCGATTCTGCAAAGGCCTCGCTTTCTAACAAGAACATGTGAGGATCAGCTGATGGGAGATTTGAGTTCAGTGTTACAATACATTTTTAATGTCGGACGGTGGGTGAGGTACCTAAAGCAGATTATCCTTTGAGAAGAATGTGACCCTTAAGTCCACTGGCAAACGCCTTGTAAGGCCAAAGTCTGTGCTAGAACAATGACCATCATAAATGGACTCAGTGCACTCGCTTCTTTTTTTGTTTTTTAACAGGAGAGCAAATGCTGTAAATAATCAGGTTACCTGGAGGAACACTTAACACTTCATTTATTAAAAACAAAACCCATACTGTGAAGCAGAGGAATGTTTTCTCAAACCACGCTATATTCCACCAGTGCTCTTATTTACTTTATTCAGCAATCATGTCGAGAAACACATGCTTCATAAAAATGATCTGATCTGTCAGTCTACCATCAAGGGAGCTATAAAAACAGAGTAGGTAAAAACACGCTGCTTATTAAAACAATGTTGCTGCATATCGTATGGCAGCCTAGAAGATAACCAACCGTTTGGTCGCACCATGTGGAGCTTGTTGAATTTCACTCTCTCTTAATTTTTCCACGCTTTTCTCGGTTTCCTCGCTCCTTGCTTCCCTTCATTTTCGTGTTCCTAGGTCTGCGGGTTTCCTTGGACGGAGTGTTAGTGTGTAGAAGAGGAAACATTGGTGCCGTGTTTATCTCTGGACCCTTCAACTGAAACTCAGTGTCCTTTTCGATCAGAGTCGGGAGGGGTGTTGTGTCTGTAACGTCTGGCAAAACTGCTTCATAGCAGATTTTGATTACACGCCTTCCTTTGTTCCTTCTACCATTGGTGTCCTTCAAACTTTCTGTTGGGTTTTCAAGTCGGTCCAATCCCAGTCGCTCTATTACGTCTGTTGGCCCGACTGTTGCAGAACCTGTGAACAATAGTGAATCCTGAGAGCTGATATTCGTGTTCCTAGGTCTGCGGGTTTCCTTGGACGGAGTGTTAGTGTGTAGAAGAGGAAACATTGGTGCCGTGTTTATCTCTGGACCCTTCAACTGAAACTCAGTGTCCTTTTCGATCAGAGTCGGGAGGGGTGTCGTGTCTGCAACGTCAGGCAAAACGGCTTCATAGCAGATTTTGATTACACGCCTTCTTTTGTTCTTTCTACCATTGGTGTCCTTCAAACTTTCTGTTGGGTTTTCAAGTCGGTCCAATCCCAGTCGCTCTAGTACGTCTGTTGGCCCGACTGTTGCAGAACCTGTGAACAATAGTGAATCCTGAGAGCTGATATCACGAGGAGGTTCTTCTGTAGAGGAAGCAATGATTTTCCTCATTCTCTTTCTTCCTTCTCTCTGCCTCGAACTTGGCCTTTTGGTTCTAACAATGGGTGTTTTTTGTGTAGTAGTGAACACATGTCCCTTTTCATCCATGTTATGTGTAATCTGCGTCACCTCGTTTCTTACAGCATCAACTGGACTCTCGGTTGTTGACGTTGCGAGGCTGACACCTTCAGATGGACTAGTCGAGAGAGTTTCTTCCTTGACATAAAGTTGGGTGGCTTCTGTGGAAGGGTTGTTTTTTCTTTGCTTTTTCTTTCCGGCTCTTTGTCTCAGCTTAGCTCTGGTCTTATTGCGGACAATGTGAGCTGCAGGTGAGGAGGAGACTAACTCTGTGTCGTTTGCTTGGTTGTGCTCTAGAATCTCTGGTTCTTTATCTGTCTTTATTGAGGTTGTAATGGTAGCAACATCCTGATTATCATTCACTGTCCTCTGAGGATCATCTCTCATCATCTTATTAGAATTTCCTACAGAGTCTAGCTCACTGTTCATGAAATTATTTTCTTTTATGCTAAACCGATTCATCTTCGCTGCTTCCTCCGCAAAGTTGTTCTTACCCATGACCTCTTCTGTTTGACCTGTCGACGGCGCACCGGCCGTTCCTTCGTCGACCTTTAACACGGCATCAAGTTTTTTATTCTTCTTCCTGCCTTTACCCCTTCCTCTTTTCTTCTTGTTCTCTTTTTTCTTCTTGCTGGAATTTTTCTTCCTCTTCTTCTCTGACGTCTGAGTTTCTCCTTTACCCGTGTCTGCGGATGAGCTTTGAGAGGTGGAGACTGTGGCGAGCACTTTGATGAAATCCTCTGCAGCCGTCACCACGTTTGTGAGCGAGGGCTCTTCAGGGGCGGTGGTCTTTGATTCAGAGAATGACAACTGTGTTGTGCTTTCAGCGTTCTGAGTCTTGTTCTGCTTTTCTTCGTCTGACTCTTTCTTCTTAGGAGGAGCGATAGTCAATACATCAATGACATCAATGCCTCCAAAGTCATAAGCGTTTGATTCTTTAATCACTGCTACGGGAACTCTGTCATACTTTTTACACCTTTATGATAGAGAGAAGAGTTAACAATTGCATTAATTTGGCTACTGTAGACTGTACACTAGACTAGAGTATATGGAAGGATTTAGAATTTCACAGAATTTGATACTTACACCCCATACCAGTGACGCTCAACACACTGCTCTTCAAATGAAAACTCAAAGCAAGGCACTTCGATCACATTAAAGAAAGCTTGTCCGACTACTCGGGATGAAGTGTCATTGACACGTCTCAGGCATTCCTTTAAGCTGTAAGATGCAGATATAAGTGGTCATTAGCATAAATAAATATGGAGATGATTTCAAAATGTCTATTTTTTTCAGCATTTTTACATAAAGATAATGATTTCGATTTGATTGCAGCTATAACATCAGTTAAAAAAAATAACTTTCATTTGAAATCATACACTGCAAAAATTGGTAACCTGTTGCAATCGTTAACTTGATTTTTTTTTCTACCTGATCTAATTCTTAAATTTAGGGTTGTTGGTACACCCTTAATTATAATATGATGGTTCTGTGAAAAATAGTTTTCAGTAAAAATTAGGCTAATTGATGTTGATTGTTGTAACGTCCCAGAAGCACATTTTAACATTTTGTAGGTAACTGACAAATATCAACAAGATTTGTAGGTTATATGTTTTTGCATAACAGTCAGTTTTTCCATCATTTAATCACATTTTAGTCCTTCAATTAAATAGAATTGAAAAGAAACAATACTTAAATTCTCATAATAAAAGTGTCTCAATTAATATAACGTCATAAAAACGGCTTATATACAATAGTGTTATTAGTGTTTTTTTTGTTTTGTTTTTAAAGTAGTTTTAAATGAAGTTGGCCTATAGCTTGTCATGCTGCTGGAGGCTG